GATCCGAGCATAGGCCTGGCGGGGCCGGAAAGGGGGGGGGGGCGAGAGCGAGTGCCTCCCCCTCCCTCTCACACCAGGCCACATGCCCTCGGCACTGGGAGGTTGGCCCCGTGCCGATGGGGACAAGGGCCTCGTCTCCACAAAGTCACATAAAGTTTGTCCAATGTTCGATTCAAACTCATGTTCGAATTGAACCAGTGGACCATCCCTACTGATTATATGAGAGTTTTCTCCATGCTGTTGAAAAGGTGTGACAACATAGGAGTTGGGCAGATGGCACTGTGGGTAGCCCAAAAAGTTCTCTTTCCAACACTTCCAGAAATGTCAGTTTTTCTGTAGATTTACAATACAGATATACTGTATCTGCTGATCGGTGGCACATCCCTGTAGCAGGCAGGATTTCCTTGAAGTGATCCTGAACTCAAAAATCAAAGATGTGCTGTGTTATATGGACCCTATGCCTAAGCATTACCCTAAAAAATGTGCTTTTTTTCTGGAATCCCTTCTGAAAAATAGCAGTGCACTTCTTGGTATGTGAGTGTGCCTAGGCACTCCTTTCCCTACAGCCTCATAACTGTATCTGCAATGTGCATCTGCGGCACTGCTGCCTCTTGCTGCTAGTCCCAGGAGATTTTAAATGGGATTTGGTGAAGAAGCCACACAATAGTAAGTCAGTAATACGGAAAGAGCATCTGCAGGGAGGCCACGGGCAATATTGGTGACTAGTCCATTGCCCTCTGCCTGACTTTTTTGGGCACAGCTTTTAGAGCCCAGTTCCTCTTTAAGTTCTCTTAATACAGATTTCATGTCTGCCTTTACATTAAAGTGACACTAAACTCAGGGGTTAAATCTAAAAAATGTATTCAAAAGTCTTAACTATATATGTTTGTAGCTTACATTTATAACTATGTATCCTATGTAGCTTATTTGTTTATCACTCAGATGTAGATCCTCATCTCTGAATTGGTCCATCCTTCTGGGGGGTGGCTACTTTTGTTCCCCATGGTCCCTGTGTGTGTTGTAAAGTAGTCATCTTTCCAATCTGGCTCCCATGATAGACAAACTTCTCATGTTTAGTTTATAAATTTGTGTTGAGAACATAGTCCATCACGGAAGTGAGCTTGGAGTGCTGGCTACTTTACAACACACACAGGGGAACAAAAGTAGCCTCCCTCCAGAAGGAAGGGCAGTGTCAGGGCCTATTCAGAGATGGTCTACAGCCGAGTGATACACAAATAAGATACATTTTTATTAATAGTTAACGTACTTAATTGCATTTTTAATATTTAACTCCTGAGTTTGTTTAAACTGTATGTTTTCAGGTGTGTGTTATAAATATATCTTCTTTGTCTTCACAAGTGAGAAAAAACTCATAATGGAGGCACTGTACAAGAATCAGTTTCTAAAGCGACTTGATCCTCATCAAATCCGGGACATGATAGAATGCATGTATGAAAAAAGATATGCCCAAGGAGAATATATCATAAAGCAAGGAAAACCGGGTACTCATATCTTTGTATTAGCTGGTAAGTTAACCCAAATATTCTTTTTTAGCTAAACACATGCTAGATGGATCTATCCTCATCATTACTTAGCTGTGGAAATATTAAGCTTTGGCTAAATCTAGCCATGGAGAAAAATAGCAGGTGATGCGGTCAAACTCTTTTACGCTGCACTCAATATGGACTTAACCAAACAGATCTGCTAAAATGGAAGCAGGGTTCACACAATAAAGTACTGTTGTTAAACATAAAATGTTCCTGTATTCATAACTATTTCTGGATCCAGAGACCACACTTGGTATCCCAATACACCTAGTAGCTAGCATTTCACTGTGTTTGCCTGAATTATATATGCAAATCAAAACCTCAGCAAACATTTAGTGGTGCACACTTCGCAGGCATCTCCAAATGTATCATACTCTATTTTCAAACTCTATATGAAAACATTTTTAGTAGATTTTAAAGTGCCTGCTCCACCCAAAGTGATATTTATGTTGTTGACAAATGCTAAGGGGATACACCACGGTTCTTTATGACTCTCAAAGGCTCTGCACTTCTTCTCAAATGGACTTGACTCTCCCTTTTGTATTTTTTTATGTACCTTATATTATTAAAGTGTATGTATAGCCACATCTTTTTGTTAGTTTTGGATAGAGTAAAGGAGAGTTAAATCACTATTAGTTTTTTGTTTTGTTTTTTGTTGTTGTTGTTTGCGTCTTGTTTTTGGAACACAACAGAAAGTGAGAAGTCAGAAGAAATCTCCTGAAAGTATCCCAGCCTAGGCTGTTGTTGCCAGAACATTTGTCCCTATTGGAAGATATCCCCTCACCTTTTGCTTTTACAAGTCTAAAATTTAGGATTTCCAAAGAGATTACTTTTTAGCTACAGTAATACCTTGGTTCACGAACGCTTCTTTTCGCAAACAGAAAGTTTGGCAAAATTTTGCTTCCGTTCGCGAACTCCACATCGGGTGACGAACACGACCGCGGCCATCTTCACCGCTCTGACACGTGGTCGTGGCTTCCTCTAGTCGAGATTGCAGTCGCAGACAGGCCAGTGCACACTTGCTGTGAAGCTTTTTTGTGTGCTTTATAGCACATACAGTATTTGATTCGGGTTCGCGACCAATTCGGTTCGCAACCAGAATCGTTGCGAATTAAGTTTGTGAACCGAGGTTCCACTGTATTTGACAATTACCCCAGCAGGTACACAGTACACAATAAAATCTTGAATTATCCATTGCTTTTCATAACCCTTCACCAATCGAAAATAAATAAAACATTTTTTTACCTCCATGTACACTTTAAAGACCAATTGAGATAGTTTAAATCAGCTAAATACATTCAAAGTGCATTAAAAGAAAAGGCGTTCAACGTCTTACATGTTTAATTTTTTTTCCTAAAGTAGCTGTAGTCTGAGTTGAAAAGCCTGTCTGTTGCCAAAATGCTGCAGAGTGAGATCCTTGACCTCTGTAGGGAAGCAGTGATCTCTCTGTAGATGTAAAGGTGCCCATACACCTTACAATTATCTGCAGATTTTCTGTGGTCAGATGGAAAAAGTGCAACAGATTGGCCCAGGTGGAGATTACTCCATCCACACAGTTAAGTGTAGATGGAGGAATCTGTTGCACCTTTTCCATCCGACCACAGAAAATCTGCAGATAATTGAAAGGTGTATGGCCAGCTTTTGACATGCTGAGTCAGAGCATTCCAATCAACAGGAAGTATGAGCTTTGTCGGTTGCAGAGCTATAGGTCTGACTAAGTTGAGGGCATGTCAGACCTCTTCAATGAGACTACTGCTTCTCCACAAAGACCATATGTCCCACTTTAGAGTTGCTGGCAGTGGACAGGCTTCTCCACTCAGACTGTGGCTGCTTTAGAAAGAAAATGAACTGTAAGACTCTAAATAACTTATGTTTTGATACACCTGAAATGTATTGCCAGAAACTATAAAGGGAGCTCTTGCAATTTTATGTTATTTTATTGTTCCAGTAACTGATATTGGGGAATTATACAGTTTAAAATTTGAATTGAGACTTTAGTCTTAAAGAAGAACTCAGTGCTGAATAAAGCTTTACCCGTGCAGTGGCGCTACCCTACGCACTGCAAGAGTTAAGTGATCATCTTGATCTAGGGTATCAAATAAAAAAAAAAGATATACTTCCCCAAATCTTGGTCCCACCTGACTGCTAGACTAGTCCCCACAGCTTCTATCCCCCTCCTCCCCAGTGGTGGAATGTCCCTCAACATCCTGTATTAAACATGATGACTCAGGGATGCTTAGACTGTCGGAGTGGAGGGGGACCAGTCTAGCAGCTAGGTGGGAGGTTTGGGTGAGTATATCTGTTTGATTTTACACAGTAGACTAAAATGAACATTTATTCCTTGCGAGGGTTATGTTTTGTTCTGCTTGGAGTTCTTTTTTAAGTTAGCATATATTTATTCATCACAGTGTAGTATATTTTCCACTTCAAGAGTTTAGTCTACATGGCTGGTTAACTGATCAAACAAAAATATACATAAAATATACATGCATTCTTATAGGTTTAGTCATGGCCTCTATAACACTGATCATAGGTCCTTTACTAACATTAAACTAGAAAAGTATTTTATTGGTCAGTTACTATAACAGTGGAGAAAGCTTGTGCTGTGTGAAGCCTGACAGGATCACCAGTTGTTTTTAAATAAATACAACATGCAACTCCACTAAGACGTATGCTGTTTGTTTTATATTATTAAGATGGCTGCAGTAGTTTTTTCAATTTGGCAATACTTCTACTTTAAGTAATTTAATTATCACCTAACATACTCAATCACTATTATACATGGAGACGAACGAGGCTTGACACGAATGGACGGACATGGAACCCCCAGTGGGATTTTTCTGTCTCTTTTTCCTCACCCCCTCTTTTTTTTCTCTTCTTTTTACCCTCTACGGGGGCTGCTTATATGCATACTTCATTTATTTATTTCCCAACCGTGTTAGGAGAGTTCTCACTCCCCTACGATTACTATTCCCTCCTGCACTCTCCTCAATACTCACCCCACCTACATAATGTATTGCTAACTCACACTTGGGCAGGAGTACTCTCCCTGAGATCAGGGAAATACAGAGATTGTGTCAATGACCCATCCTCAATAAGTGTTGAGGTTACATATGTTTACGACTTTTTAGCAGAGGATGTTGATAGCAATATAATTTTGAAGGTTTTCCTGCCCAGAATACTTGAAAAAATATATTTTGCCACTGTGGTGTACATTGTATCCCCTTGTTTATATGGCTACGATGTCTGTTTTTCTGATCTTTCAAAAGAAAAAATCATTACTAAACATCTATATGGAAAAAAAATCACTATTATACAATATTGTTACCAATAGAGCTGTTCAACACAAACTAAAATGGGAGATACTTGTCCCCTGAAATGACAACGCTAGTTAGTCTGATTTTTTTAGCATATTAAATAGATGTAATTTCAATATATACAAAAATGTTGTTCTACAATATATTTTACAGAGGGTAAAACAGAAGTCTTCCAACAAAATAAACTACTAACCTCCATCCCTGTATGGACAACCTTTGGAGAACTGGCTATACTCTACAACTGCACAAGAACAGCTTCAGTCAAAGGTAAGTAATTCGAATTGCTTTAAGCTGTGACGAAACAACATTCTTTGATATAATTTTCATTTAAATGGCTATTTAATGCTTCTGGTTGATTTCAAGTCACATTATATTAAGTGTACAAACTCAGGAGTTAAATCTTAAAAATGCATATTAGTACATAACTATTAACAAAAATGTATCTTATTTGTGTATCACTCAGCTGTAGATCCTCAAATCATCTCTGAATTGGTGCTGATACTGTCCTTTCTTCTGGAGGGTGGCTACTTTTGTTCCCCATGGTCCTTGTGTGTGTTGTAAAGTAGCCACTGCTCCAAGATCACTACCGTGATGGGCTAAATCTCCATAAAAAATATAGTAAAGTAAACGTGACATTGTAGTCCATCAAAGGAGCGAGCCTGGAGCGGTAGCTACTTTACAAGTACATTTAGGGGTTATTCACTAAGCTGCCAAAAGCTAGCCAAGTGAATAACTGAGCCTAAGTGAAGTGAGACGAACGCTGTTTGGCTATTCACTTCAGCCCTGTACAGCTAATTTCAGCCGTACATTGGCTAAAATCAGCCGTACATTGGCGCCTTTCGGCTCCCTTCGGTTCAGCCAAACATGCTGCTCTGAAGCGAAAAAGCCGTTCGAGCTGATCCAACATCTGGAACGGGCTGAGACCAACCTTTAGCAGTTCACTTGCTGCCGTTTGCCCCTATTCTCATAGGGCCGAACGGCAGTGAATGCATAGCTGAATTCCTCCGAGCTGCATTTGGTTCGGCTATTCTGCTCGCTACCTCCGAGGTAGCGAGCAGAATAAATAAAAACTGCACGGGGTACCCCTCCCAAACCATACCAGATGCTTTAGGTCTGGTAAGAAATTTATGAGGGACCCCAAGTAAAAAAAAAACAAAAACCGCGTAGCGTTTCCCCCAAAGTCATACCAGGCTCTTTAGGTCTGGTAGGAATTTTAAGGAGGAACCCCACCCACCAAAAAATGGAAAAAAACGTGGGGACCCCCTTAAACGTCCTAACCAGACCCTTAATCTGGGCAGGAAATGGGAGGGAAAAGCGAGCGCCCCCCCCTCCCTGCCATATCAGACCGCATGCCCCATTTCCCCCCTGGAATTTCCACCTTGTCCCCATGCCGATGGGGACAATGACCTCTTCCCCACAAGCCCTAAAGCGTTAATTGTCAGGGTCTGCAGGCACAGGGGCTTATTTGCATCAGGGTACCCCTTTAATTAAGGGGTACCCAGATGCTGCCCCCCCTTGTAAATGCGTAAGGGGTACTTGTACCCCTACTCATTCACTAAAGCGTTAAAGTAAATTGTAAATAAACAGACCAGACTTTCAGAAAAAATCCTTTAATTAAAAAAAAAAAACCACAACAAAAATATTTGACAATTCCTTTAATAAGAAAAATTCCACAAATTGATCCAACAACGTAATCCAAAGGTCAATCACGATGTCCAGCGTTGTCCACGACAACGCATCAACATTTAAAAAAACCCAGACGCCCACCGACCTGTCCAGACCCGACAAACTGCCGCCACAGAATGACCTCTTTCACAGAAGCCAGCAAAAAGTAAACAAATGGGCGGAGCTATCGGTGACATCAACACTGGCTCCGCCTATTTGTTTTGATTTGGCCAGCATCTGCAATGTAGGTCTTCAAAAGAAATGGGTGGAGCCGACCGTGACGTCATGGCCGGCTCCACCCATTTGTTGTCATAGAACAACAGGCTACTGTACTCAAATGACCTGAGTACAGTGGCCTGTCATTGCATGAAAACAAATAGGCAGAGCCAGCGGTGATGTCACTGCTAGCTCCGCCTATTTTTTAACATTTGCGGGGAGATTGGTCTGCTTCGGCAGACCGCTCTCCCCACTTCGGCTGTTTCTTCAGCTCAGCCGAGCTGAGCGCATGTGCTTCAGCTCGGCTGAGCTGTTTGGCTGCCTTCAGCTGCTATACGGGCTGTTGTGAATAGTTCGAAGGGCTCCGGCGGCCAAAGTGAGTCGAGGGACTAGCCAATGCTTCGGCTTAATCCTTCAGCTCCTTTATGAAAAAACCCTTTAAAATCAATTACAATCAATTGTAATTAGTGTTATTTTATTGTTGTTTAAATGTCGTGCCTAAGTGAATCTGTGCCCAAACTGTGAAACTATAGAAACTAGCTGAGATTTCAGAGCCTTTTCTGTGAATTTTAAATATTTACAGACTACAGGCATTGTGCAAAAATCATCTTCAAAATTCACAGAAAAGGCTCTGAAATCTCAGCTATTTTCTATAGTGAGCAGATCTTAAAGGAGAACTATGGGGTCAGGGGTTTTCCCCATAGTTCTCCTTAGGGTAACGGGAGGACACAAACTAGCATCCTCCTGTCACCCTAAGCTCAGTATACCGCGAGCTACAGCTCACGGTACACTGAGACGCCGGAGTGGATCCCGACATCGATGTCGAGATCCGCCCAGCTGCGTGAGTGACAGCTGGCTCTGCCTATCTAGAGGCAGAGCCAGCTGTACCCGCCCCCTCCCCGTTCGTTCCGCCAGTCAATGCTGGCGGATCGGAGCGGGGAGGGGGGAATCCATCCCCTCCCCTGTCACGGCATGTGTTCGCTCACCTCCCGATCTACTGAGCCGACCTGTGACAGTCTCATTGTCACAGGTCGGCTAGATCTATGAGGTGAGTGAAAAGCACTCACCTCATAGTTCTCCTTTAAAAGCCTGCCAGCCCTCCAGTGAAGACACACAGCAGGTGTTTCTAAGCTGTTGGAAATTGACTGAAACCCTACTTTGGGTCAGAAGAGGTTGGGTCAAATTTGGCTTTTACAGAAAACTTGCAATTTGCATGTAAATGTGATAGCCTATACCTCTGGATGTACTGATCATTTAGACATGTAGACTCTTTTTTTTGTGATCTTTGACAATTAATAACTTAACAGTACATGCAGCTAGAGAGGTTAGAGATGGCTTGTTTTGAAAGTCCTTTATAGGTACACTTTAACACTTTTCGGATGGAGTGGAGCCAAAAGCCCCCTGGCACAAGCCCTAAAAAAAGACAGGCACATAGAAAAAGAGTTACTTTATAGATTACTGTTTTTTTAAATGGCACCTTGGAGTTGCCTAAAATGTGTAACCCTAACACAGGGGCAGTTACTGCACATTGTTTTTTTGTTTCTGTTCCATGCATGGTAGATTTAACACAACTGGGCCATTTTTATTACAGCTATAAGCAATGTTAGGACATGGGCTCTTGACAGAGAAGCATTCCAAAATATTATGAGAAGAACAGCACAAACCAGGCATGAGGAGTACCGGAACTTTCTCAAAAGGTAAATGTTTATATAGAGTTGCAATATAAATGTAAGAATGAACCAATGCTCAAACTAAGTATTTGGTTATAAGTCTTGTTTCTCAGCTTAAAGTACATATAAACCCTTTCTTGAATCTACCTCTATAAATACCAATGCATCCAGTTAATTTTGTTTTCTTTTCACACACTCTTCCTATTGTCTTATCGAACACCTATCTTCTCACATCCCCTTTCTCTATGTGAAGTCACTTGGATAATTTTCTTTAGAGAACTGTCTAGCATATGTTAACCTTCATTCAAAACATTATTTTAATAATTTACAAAACAGCTCTTCTTTTATGCATTCATAACATCTCAGTGTTGTCATGATCTTTTAATTACATGTTACAACCACGGAATAAAATATGGTCACAGGATAACATTGTCTTCTTTTAATTAGTAATAATATAAGGATTATGGAAATTATATACTTGGAATGATACCTGCAATATTTATGAAATTTAATGCTTGCATTTTCAAAATAACATTCATTGTAGAAGAAAAAAAATATTGTGAATAGCCCGTACAGCACCCCCTTGGTTCTACTGAACCGAAGGGGTCCTGGGGCCGAAGCTAGCCGAAGGATCGGCTGAAGCTACGGCCAGATCCCTCGGCAGCTTCGTGAATAGACCCCTATATTGCCAAGTATTGGGGCACCCCTCCATTGAATTCAGGTATTCCAATCACCTCCAAGGTCACAGGTGTATAAAATCAAGCACCTAGGCATGCAGACTGTTTATACAAACATTTGTGAAAGAATGTGTCAGTGAATTCAAGCATGGTACCGCCACTGGACTCTACAGAAGTGGAGACGTGTTCTCTGGAGTCACGAATCACGCTTCTCTGTCTTGCAATCCGATGGACGTGTCTGGGTTTGGCTGTTGCCAGGAGAACGGTACTTGCCAGACTGCATTGTGCAAAGTGTAAAGTTTGGTGGAGGGGGGATTATGGTGTGCGGTTGCTTTTCAGGGGTTGGGCTTGGCGCCTTAGTTCCAGTGAAGGAAACTCCTAAGGCATCAGCATACCAAGACATTTTGGACAATTTCATGCTCCCAACTTTGTGGGAAAAGTTTGGGGATGGCCCCTACCTGTTCCAACATGACTGTGCACCAGTGCACAAAACAAGGTCTATAAAGACATGGATGAGTTAGTTTGGGGTGGAGGGACTTGACTGGCCTGCACAGAGTCCTGACCTCAACCCGATAGAACACCTTTGGGATGAATTAGAACAGAGACTGCGAGCCAGGCCTTCTCATTCAACATCAGTACCTGACCTCACAAATGCTATTCTGGAAGAATGGTCAAACATTTCTTTAGACCCACTCCTAACCTTGTGGACAGCCTTCCCAGAAGAGTTGAAGCTGTTATAGCTGCAAAGAGTGGGCCAACTCAATATTGAACCCTACAAACTAAGACTGGGATGCCATTAAAGTTCATGTGCGTGTAAACGTAGGCGTGTCAATACTTTTGGCAATATAGTGTATAAATATATGTTATATCTATTAGATAAATTAGGCTAAGAGATACATTTGCCTGCACATTTGTAAGTAGTATGAGTGTAATCCTGTAGATGATGTTCCCAACAGTCATTTAAATTTAAATTTCTTTCTCTACTTTAAAAGTGTATTTTTACTTAAGAAGCTTCCAGAAGACAAGCTGATGAAGATAGCAGACTGCTTAGAACTGGTAAGTTCTTCCATGTATTTTTTATAAAATGTTAAGGCAACATCAAGAAGAGGTTAACATGTTGTCACATACAAATCAAAGTTACTGCTGAGCTTCTGGATCAAAGGTGCAAGATCATGAGTGTTACCAATATCTGAATATCTTTAAAATCCACCATCTTGGTATAAGTAATGAGGCACACCTTCTTTGACATCACATGATGTTTTCCATGCTAAAACAAGCAAAGAAATTGACCTGTCGTAGGAAACTGTATATAAGAGGGGAGATGAGCATAGGCAACACATGGATTCATTTTAAAGTGCACCTGTGCCCAGACTATGGACATTAACAGCTAGGAGCATTCTAAAATGTATGACATGCTGCATGTTAAGCAGTCTATTGCAATAACTGACATACACACAAATATGCATGCATCATGCATTTTAACATATCTGTTTGATGGAGAAAAGCTACTATTTTTGTACCAAAACACACATATCAAATTTGTTTTTGTAAAAGTACTGAAATGTGTGTATAAAATGCACAGAATAAAATTGAAATACTTGCAGTGACACAAGCAAAAAAACTCACATTACTGGATGTGCATAAGTGTTGAAAGACCCTAAATGTTGCTGTGCTGAGAGAAATATGAAGTCTAGTTGCCTGGCAGTGATCCTGAAAGTGTGGCATAAATGAATGCTGTTTGTTCTTTCAGTGTAAACATAAAGGTGCAAGTATGGGCTCTGCAATACTAAATTAAGTGAGAAGTGCTTATTTTTGGGGGTTAGGTTGTGTTCAGGAAAGAAGGGGTGGTTAGGTACTTGGGGGGCGGGGGGGGGGGGGGCTTTATGAAAGGGAGCATTATGAAATATGTCCACCGGTGCCCAGACTATAAACATTTAAATCTTTGCATATTCTTAACAAACAGTAAAAGAGCTTTAACATAAGCCATCCCTGAATTTCCTAGCTGCTTGTACTGTGAAGTAATGTCTCCTAAATATCCTCAAAGATATCAAAGTATGGTTTCAGTTGGTTGCTAAAAATGTAGAAACATCTGCTGTGTGTTTTAATTCGATGTCTTACAGGCTGCTGAGATTTTGATTCTATAGAAATAAAAGGCGAAATGATTTGAAGTAAAAAAAATGAATACTAGATTTGGATTTCAGGGCTTAATTTCAAGGTTAACTGTTTAATGATCAGGTAAGGGACAGGGTGACGTACTGGGGAGAATGGATTTGGTATTAGTCAAACCTGAAGTGCCCCGTGCTTGGATTATGGACATTAAAGTATCTACATATTTTTAACAAGCAGTAAAAGAGTTTTAAAACAAGCCCTCACTACCTTCTTTAACTGCCTGTACTGGGAAGTAGTTAATTCTCAAATATAGCATCAAAGACTGTCAGCTTTTAGACAGTTTCTAACAGCTTACAGCACCTGGTGTTTGTATATATCAGAAGGCTGGCAAAATCAGCCTCAGTCTGTTTGCACACACAGCCCAGAACATAATAGTTACTGCTCTACTAACTAACTACATGATCTAGGGCAAAGATGTCAGTGCAGAAGGGTAGATGCTATCTCTGGATCATGCCTGAACAAACATGGTGTGGTCTTTCTAAGGAAGGAGGAATTGCTAGGAAGAGTACTGTAATCTCTGTGAGAGGTAATAAATACCCATAAGTTGTACACTTTATTTTACTTATCATGCATGCAAAGAGTATGAAAATATGCCTGCAGCTAGGTTAACTTTAAATGTTTTTGGCCTCTCTGTGTAGCAGCATGGGTGATCCTGTTCTGCATACTCTGGCTTTACTTGCAGGTGAAATCTGTAGCACCACACTGCATGTACAATGGCATGCCCAATGGTCCTCTTTGAATAACACTAAGTATGAAAACTTGGAGTTCAGTCTGTGGAGCATTTGGCCAAGGGAGGTGAGGATTTTTCTATGTTACTGTTCAAAAACATCAGAAGTGAAAGGGGATTTCTGTTTAAACTAGAAATCATAAATAAGCCCTACAGTCCACCACATCAAAGAACATGCATGTCTTGAAAAAAAAGTGAAGCTAAGTTTATTTGTTCATATTAAAAATCGGGTCCTCGGTGAGGACCTTCTCTGGCTTTTTGAACATTTAGAAAAAGGGAAACCTTCTCACTGGGAGAGAGCAGAAAATGTGTTCTGTGTTTCTCAAACATGTTCGAAGGTGACACATTTGCTAAACAATTTTACCAAAGCACAAGAGAGCTCATTAAAAAGACTTCTCTATGTGCATGAGACACACCGAAGAGAAGGCCCACTGAGTTTATTTTCCTGTGCAGAAACATAATATGGATGTTAGCCACTTCAAATACATGCAGTGGAGTTACACGCTCTATTTCTGAAAGATTTCACAGAAAGAAACTATTTCAGAGGTGTTGACTTTATGTCAGACCTGTGTTCGTCATCTCATTGCACGAAAAAGAAAAGCAACCTTCTATTGAAATGCAGTCAAAGAGCACTTTGCACTTAAGTGTAAATTACACCACCAATGTATCAATGAGTATTTCATAGAAATTCCCCAGAGGAATTTATTAATTCCATGCCACGATGATACAGTGTTTGCTCTCTCATTTCCCAGGGTTTTGATGATGAAATCATTCTGAACAGGTCTTCTTGGATCTGTTCCCTCCAGAGGGCTGGCCATGTAACGTAACACTGACACAGATGTTACAAATTAATAATTCAGCGTAATTTCACCAAAGAGCACAGTCATTTTTCTTTAAAAGAACAAAATGTGTTTCTAATAGAGTATGTAGCGAGCAGACGTAATAACCACAAGAGAATTCCTTTCTGATCCCAGATATTAAATCTAGAGCTATGAGGATTAATGGGAGTACACTTTGCCTGCTACCTCTTCAACTTTCAAAATTTTCAATGGGATGCTGAGGGATTGTTTAGGTTGTTTGTTCGTCTTCATGCTTGATAGGCTTTGAAGGAGGGCATGTGCTCCAAAACTTTAATTTTTGGAGCATAAATTTAATTTTAATTAGCATAAATTGGGTTCTCAACAATATTATTAATGGTGGTAAGCTGATACTGAAAAGTCTGCGCCTTTCAAAGTTTAAGAATATCTGGGCAATATGGGCCAAATCCTGACCCTCATGACCTACATGTTATATTCCATGAAGATGGGAAAACTTGAACATTTTTCCCCCGGTCCTAATTTGCAAATGTGCACTTTGAGAAGCTGTTAGAAATTGATCTGATGGCCCAGGTGTGTTTTGCGGAAACAGTGATAATATTATAAAATGGTAATAATAATTAGGAATGAGGGTCGGGTTTGCCGCTACTTTGGGTTCGAGGTGAATCCTGCAGGTTCAAGATTTACAATCCTGGCAAATTTATATGCAGATTTCCCTGGGAATTTTTTTTAAAACCATAATGCACTGCATGGTCCTTGAACTGTGGCCAACAGGCTTAGAAAGGCTAATAACAGGGATTTGGATTCAACCAGACCCCTCACTATAAAAGGGATGACAGCAGCTTGTTATTTCTGTCTCTGTCCCTGCATCAAAGGCATTATTTCTACTTTTTTAGATAATATAGCATAACACTACGTTGCTTAACATTCATAAATATAGTATTGGCTGCAAAATAAATAGGTACTTTTTATTAAATAGATTTAGATTAGAATAAAACCATTGTAGCATTGCTCTAGGCAGTAAACTAAACTGTGAATGTATTACTTTAATGAACAGGATTTCAAATCATACTTCTCTTATGAAGTGGGTGTTACTTGCAAAATGAGTCAGGAGCCTGGCTCCTCTTACCATCTTGACTGATGGTACAGAACAGTTTCCTATTGTTGATAAAGCAATTTTTGGTTAGATGTGCAATATATCTCAATATTTTCTCCTAATTTTAATTGTTTTTATATTAATTGTTACAGTGTGTGTCCAGCCAAAACTTTTTTTCCAGTTGCTGGATGAAGTGGGGAAGGGTTAGAACCCCTATTGGGTTTTTACTGCTATCTAGGACTCCACTCCCTGCTAACAGCGTTTAACCAGACAGTATGTGAGGGGTAACAGCAACACAGACTAAAATAAAAAATGCTTTTCCTTAGTAGAATAGGGAAAAACTGGACACCTGTCAGATTTTTATTTTTTCTGTCTCTGTTGCAGATTTTCTCTCACTTCCTTTCTGGGACAAACGTTGTCAATATCACAAAAAGTGATAATAAACCTTACTAACAGAGCCCTGAATAATGGTAAAGGTCCAGAATAGAAACAGATCAGAATTCCATTTTGCAGGACCTGATAGGGGGTAAGCTGATATAAATGGACGCATGTCCATTTACATCCGATTCCCCATAGACTAACATGGGTCCGGTAATCTGGACGGAGACGGATGTCACAAAGGTGACAACTGTTCCGATCACCAGGGGATCTGTGCACACCTGATTGGACCATGTGAAAGGGGCCTTAGGGTCATTGTAAGTGTTATCATCAGTATTTGTGTGTTGTTTTAGGTAGCAAAAAAAAAATATATATAAAGTTTTTTTATTTAGGGGGTTATTCACAAAGGAGCCGAAGGATCCAGCCGTAGCTTCGGCTGATCCTTCGGCTCTCTTCGTCCGCTGAAGCCCTTTCGGTTCAGTCGAACTATTCACTATAGACGAACAGCAGCAAAAGGCAGCCGAGCCAAAGGCATATGCTTCGGCTCGACTGCGAATGGCCTGCTGAAGGGCCAACCGTAAGCCCCGCAAATGACAGCTGGGCGGAGCCAGCTGTGAGATTACGTCTGGCTCCGCCCAGCTGTCATTTGCAGGGCTTACGGTTGGCCCTTCGCTCCGGTTGTAATGACAGATCAGCTTCCCCAAATGACCTGGAGACGCTGATCTGTCATTAAGCAATAACAACTAGGTGGAACCGGCCATGACTTCACGGCCGGCTCCGCACATTTGTTATTCATTGGCCGGGACCTGCTAGAAGACTCTAGCAGGTGCTGGCCAATAGGAAACAGTTGGGAGGAGCTAGCTGTCACTGGTAGCTCCACCCAATTATTTTTTTCCTTTTAAAAAAAATCTTTATTTTTTTACATGTAATATTTATTTACATTTTTTTAAATATTTGTTCAACTTTTGTTTTCCAACTTTTTTCACTAGTTTTTGCAGACCTGGATACATTCCCATTGCTCTGATACCTTCTCAATCTGACTGGAGGTTTAAATCAAACATAGGTCACGTAGGGTCTCTGGATTAGTGGATGGGAGTTGAGAATATTATTTGGATTGCTGTATATGTTATAAGTTGTAATTTACAAAAAATATAGAAATATGCCTTAAAAGAGATGATTGCTCTTCTCCCCACAGGAGTTCCACCCTCCCCTCTCTGTTCCTCCGGTGGTCATTGGAGGGACAGACAGGGGAGGGAAGGGCACAGCTGGTTCTTGCTCTAGAGAGGCAGAGCCAGCTGTCAATCTGGGTCACAGGAGTACATTAGTAAATATAAGAGGACTAAAGCCAAAAAAACATTCTATCAAGTCCAAGTCAGCACCAAGCCTGTATGTTATTGTTCGTGTGGATCCAAAATCATGCTGATAGGGTAACTGATACCTACTCAAATCGTTTGCAGTGTGTGTGTGTGTATGTGTGCATGTGTGTGTGTTTTTCTCACTGTAACCTTAGAAGCTAAGCACTACTAGACAGGAAATAATTGCAGTTTGAATGGTATATGCTTTATAGTGAAAGGGCAATAGTGTGTTTATTCTTTGTAACATATTGCAAATTGATTGGAAACTATATCATAATTCTGATTAACTATGGAAAAACTGTAAATATTTAAAAAAATATTTAGCATAGACATATTCAAATTAATTAAAAAAAAAATTAAAAGTGAATCTGTAAAGCTCTATTTCATCTTGGTGGGCCTTCCCTGTTTACACCACCAAGTCAGTTTTAGATTTAAAGCCTGATAAAAGTTATATAAACATGATTAATCTAAATGAAGGGTTCAGCAAAACATGCAGTTGTAAAAGTTTTACTGTTTTATAATTATTTGAGCTCCAATACCAACATACACTTTTGAATCGCCAGCTGCTGGCTGCTGAGAGGACCACAGCTATGTGTGTAAGTAGTGGCCTCTCTGTGGCTGTCTGAAACCCCTCCTGCAGAGTCACAGCTAGGACCCAGGAATCAGCAAAGTTCTAACTCCCTGCTGATTGGGGTATGTACTCAGTACAGACAGATAGCAGCCCACTTTGCTGCCTGGGGCTTAAGAGTTTATGCTCGTGCTGGAGTTCCAATAGTTATAGTTAGGCTTTTACGACTGTGTGTTTTACTGCATCCTCAAATTAAATACATTTTTTTACAACTAAATTCAATTGGACTTTAAAGGAAACCATGCCCAATAAATCCCATTATAATCATCATTATATACTACTTTATATGTTTAATTGTATGATTTAAAACTAATAGCATAACTATAGCAGATTAAAAAAAATTATTATTATTTTATCATTTTTAAAGCTAAATTGAAAATTATGCAAGTTACTATTTAATACTATATGAAATAAGGTATACAAAATACATTTGTCAGCTTAAGTATTTCCTTCTATATTCAAAATCTTGTCAATATGATCACATTTTTCTTAGAAATTCAAAAGAATGTCCATAGAACGGAAACATTTTAGTTAATTTAACCTTCTGTGACCAGTTGTGTTGAACAGGTATGACCCTTACACCATAGAGGTACTGTAATACTACAGGGTGTTGGGGCTTTTTTTTCTTCATTATATTCTTCATGGAAATATTGCTTCATCATTGGTAACAATTGCTTTTTTTGGACTACAGGAATATTATGAAAAGGGACATTACATTATCCGTGAAGGAGAGGAGGGATGCACGTTCTTTATCATTGCTAAAGGAAAGGTAAGACCTAGCAAGGAAGAAACCAACTTTTCTTTTTGTTTCTTTTCTCTCCTTTCTTCCCAGTTTATTGCAAAACCCTTTACTTTGACTATTATTTAGTTATGTCCACACTGAAGTATATGTAAACTCTAACACAATGACATTTAGTTTGCCAAAGCTCTATGTATCAAACAATTTCCATAAAAAAAAATATA